CAGTGCTTCACTACCCTCTCCATGGTGGCCACTGCTTTTCGAAAGACGCCCTTCATCCGTGCCAGGCAAGAACCAGCCCTTAGCAAAACACCAGGTTCTCTTAAGAGTCACAAATGCTGTTACTTTTATGACAGGGACGTTATTCCATAATACCTGAAACACTTTTCTATGAGATTTATTTTATCATATGAAGGTGATCGCTAAGATTTGACCCTAGTCACAAGGTTATAGCCCCAGGGCAGTGAGTGACTATTTATTTAAACCAATTCTAAACGCATCGCTGAAAAAAGAATTGGAGTAGAACCTCTAGGGAGTTACTTCAAGACAACTTCACACAGATATCAGGAGTATACTAAAGCCCCGGGTTTTGTTCAGTCTCTGCTGTATTTAACGTGCTTCTATCAGCATCACACGTGCACGACGATGACCATAACGCACTAACAAGTATCACATTCTAGATCTATGCTAAGGACAGCACTACATCTCAACGGGAATATTAGGGGGCTGTGGTGGTCGGAGGAGGAACTACATGACAATGGTACGTCCTCACCGTGTGTATCCAGGATGGCATCTCCTGTCCTCACCGACAAAGCAACTTGCTTTTCTTCCTGGAAGTGCAGCAGAGTCAATACCCCAGCAAGGGGGACTCAACTCCGCTGCAGCTTGTAGGCTCGCTGCTAATTAAGGGCGGAATGGAACCCTCCCTCAGAAACCAGATCGTTAGGTTTTATGACAAAAATCTTGATTACAGACCCTAAGCTGACTTGTCAGATCCTCGAATGAGCTTCCAAGATGTATTTACTTATTTTAACTTGTAAAGGATTTTAAACTGTGAAGTCTCACTGTGCCATTTTACAGTCACTTTGGGGAGTACAGCTGCGGCTAATTAGCTCAAAAATCCCACCCTATCTTACACATATGCTCCATTTTCTGCAGTATTAATTTCAGTGGAACTACTGGTGTGCATAAATTAAGCGCATGCTTAAATATATGCAAAATCTGAGCTCAAATGCCTAGAAAATATGTTCTCAAAATTACAAGTACGCATAGAAAAAAAATCATCACGGAAGGTGTGCCAGGCAGGGAATCCAGGATGTGTCTGCTGTCACCCGTGATGAAAACACAGAACATTTTTTGTAACCCAGTATACATTGCAAGTGAAAGAAACATGCAGGACAGAGTGAAAAAAGGGGTTTCATTGCATGCAGTCTAATTTCAAGTGTGTAATTATGGTCCTGTTTTCTTTGGCCTAAAAAAAAAAAAAAGAAGAAAAAACCAACCAACCAACAACAGAAGACCAGCTAACCTCTCCTCACCTCCACAAACCCAAACTGCATACAGCTCAAAAAGGGCTTGAAAGCACAGGAAGAGAGGAGGGAAAAGGTCTGAAGATGAGGGATGTACGAGTGATTACTCACAGTTTCAGAGCTATTCAACACACCGCTAGGAAAGCATTCAGCCTGTGTCCCTTCTGGAACTTAGAGCAGCGAGCAACGAATCCCATCTTAACTGAGCAGTCAGTTAGCTTCTCCTTCTTCCTCAGAAAGAAGTACCACTCATTCTTTATGCAAGATAAAATGACCATGCCTAATGATATTTTGGCTCCCTCCTCCTCAAAGACTGAAAGACACCAGACTCCCCAGCAAGCTGCCGCCTCTCCCCTCAGCCCAGAGAGCTCTGTCCCACATCCCTGACACCAGTAAGGACCAGTGTGCTCCAGGGCTGTCGGTGGAAGAGGGTGGTTTTCTGCTGTCACTAAAAACGTTACAAAGAGAGCGTTCCTTGCAGAAAATTCCAGGGGGATGGAAAGGCCACCAAGATGCTAAAAGATTAAAAGCAACACACACACACCCCCCTTAAGAGAAGGAAAAGACTAAGGTGTGCTGGGGAGGAGGTCGGAGGAGGCGGCTGCTTGACGAAGAGCACTGGCAAGCGTGATGGGAGTGTGAATATCAAGCCTGATATCTGCCTAACGGCCCACCCTGAACGATCCCTCTGGTAGTGGTGTTTCAGCAGGCAAATTATAGCTGCGAAAAAACCCTCAGACTGAAACCCTCCCTTGTTGCTTCAGCCGTTGTTTTGTCCTTTCCAGGAAAACCTGTTAATAGGTGTGCGATATGGTTACATATACAAGAGATCTCTTTCCTAGCCCTTTTCTTGCATCGGCTTGATTACTGTGAAAGGATTTCAATGAGTTTAATGTCCTCGTACGCGAAAGGCAATAGCTGCCTTTCAACAAAAGAAAGCAAACAGAAACCACGAGCTGTGCTGGAGGAGAGACGTGCTGCTTCTGCCGGAGGGGCTCAGTTAGATACAGGAGGTGGCAGACCAGGGCGTCGAGTTTGAATGATTTTTGGCTTTGGAGAATTCTTTGGGTCCTCATCTTCTTCCATGTCGCTGTCGCACACGTGCACTACCACGCTGGGAGTGGACTCTGTTCCGGCGTGCAGCTCGTATTTCTCTCCTGGAAGCAGAGAAAAATAGTTAGATGGGAGGACGATCATCTGAGAGGAGCACAGACCATGTACTGCAGAATACTCCTGCGCCTGGACAGGGCAGAAGAGTGTGTGCTGCTCCTGAAGGCAGGTGAGGGCAAGCATGGCTAGTTGGGATCAGCTGTCACAGCAGATTCTGGGGATCCTGCCCTGGGGGCAGTGATCATTGGTCTGTAAGGCATAATAAAATACCCTGGTGTCTATGGTGGTGTTTTGCACCAATACTAGCGGCCAAGAGCACAGGAGAAAAAAAAGAGTATGAAGAGGAGAGAGAACACAGAAGTTCATGGTTGAGAAGAGGGACTGGAATCCAACCTATCAAGTCACACCTCCTGGGCTGGGGCTATTCACTTTTGTTGTTGTTTCCTTGCAGTCTAGCATGGCTCCAGTTCCATTTAAAGTCCACCAGATTCTCCCTCCAGACAGATATCAACACTTGCTTCAATTGCTCCAGAACTAAAAAAACCCCACATCTATCTGCTCCAGACAGATTTTGAGATTCAAGGCTCTTCAGCTGGAGCTGTAACAGATTCTGTCTCTACAGATGAGATCACAGAGCACAGTCTATAAATGCTCACTAGTGGGCTAAACGCTTAAACATTAGATTTTCTAACTCTGTACGTTCCATATTTAAGTCTCCAGGCAGTACTCCTGCAAGGAAGATGAATGTGGCTTAGGTGGTTACCTGCAGGAGTCCACAAGCAAGCAAAGGGAAATGAGGATCAGAGACAGGACTTTCAGTCCTGCATTCAGGCTGTTGGTACTACACGTGTTTTGGTTTGTGTCCAGGGTGTAAGTAGGTGTTAGATTGCAAGGAATTCATTTCAGACTGCAAAGAGAAAAAAGTCCTGACGGTGACATTTCTGACAGGACGACTTGGTCTTTCCGAAGTGACAAACACCCGTTCACAGCACTAAAACCTAGAAGCCATTTCAGACAAGGCGCTGCCCCGCTGCGGACTATATGTCACCTTTCGCATCTCCAAGACCCATAAGCTGCGATTAAATTAAAATAGACTCACAGCGACCACACGTACCCCTGACAGCTTGGATTATTTTTTCATGGGACTGCTCCAGAACCACTGCATGCTGCCTGCCAAATGTCCTGGGATAAGGAAGGTGAGGTCCCAATATACCCGTATTGGTGGTGCAGCAGCTCGTAAATCCCTGCCTCACGGGCAGAACCCAGCAGTGCTCGGTGTTGCCTGGTGAAGTGACACAGCAACCCCTACCTCAAAGCGCTTATGGTTTGCTCATGTTATGAATTTGGATTTTTATTTATTAGCCACTTTCTGGCAGAGTAATTCACGTGAGGAAGGGACTGCAGGTTTGGCCCTGCATTAGCACATGCCATTCTGGGACTGTGCTCACGTGCTATTTGCGCTGACAAATTCTTGGTCCAAATAAGACCGGATGGCTTGCGACTAGAGGACATGCTGCATTTCTGCCTAAAAAATAGGAGGCAACTAGTGAATAATAGCTATAAGTCAGGCATGTTGCTGTGAGAAATATTTTACTGCTGTGATACCATTAATGTTGACATTTAACTGCTCTATTTTTGGCAACCTTTCCTCTGAATCCAAATCGAGCAAAGCATTACAGGTCTTGCTGATAGGCTAAAATATAAAAAGAGAAATAGCCTGGTTGTGCTGCGCTGAGAAATTATATGGTTTTTCTTTGCCTATTTTCCCTGCGGGCTTCAGCTAATTTCTCAGCTATGGGCTGACGTCAATGCTGCCAACCAGCACTGAGGGCTACATTGGTCACTGTCAGCTGCGAGCAGCTCTGCAGCGCTGCGCACACACAACGCTGGGCCCTTTCCTCCTATACCAGCACCGGGAAGTAAATCAGATTCACTGCCCTCTTAACAGGTAATAATCCCAGTTCAAATGCCACATTCTTTTACTGTTCAGATCCTTCCTAGAAGGACTCTTTCTGCTGGAGAAGAACAGTGGAAATAAGTACAAAGACATGGAAAAAAATATTCAGATGCCTCTGGCACAAGTAACTGCAACAGCAATTAATGTCACTTTGCAAATCAAAATGTGATGCACTCATAAATTATGTTTTTAAGGCATCCAGTCATTTCTGAGCATAAATGAGCTGCAGACTCAGTTCTGTACTCGGGCTTATTCATGCCTGCAGAACTGTGGCTCAAGCTGCAGAAAAGCGTTTTATGGCTGAGCTAGGAACAGGACATCAGCAACCACGGGACTTTTATACGGCTGTTCCTTGTTCCTTAACACAACTGCTGTTTGTGGAAAAATGCTAAGGTAATAAGTACAAACTAAAACTCCAATAGACACAGCCAGATTACCCCTTCCCTTCTGCTTTTTTTCTGGTTTTTAATTTCCTCTTAAACACCACCTCCAGCATAAAAAAAAAAAAAAAACAAAAGAGCCAACTCCACAGCAGTCACTCCAGCAGAGTCAAGTCTGAATCACTGCAATCGAGTTACGTTTACAAGGCACAGGCTGCCGCAGGCATAGAGCAGCGAGTCGAGTCAGCACGGTTAAGACTCACCAGCCGCTGGAGCTAACAGCACTCAGGCATTTGGGCAGTTCTGTCATTCAGCTCTCTCGGATGCTGCCTCCTTTGCCTTCCCAAGTCCTACTTGCCCCACCGCTCCTGCTTCTCCCACTTGCCTGGAGGACTCTTACAGGCTAAGCCAAAGGATTCTCAGGGAGAGATGTCTTCCTCCTCCAGCAATCTTCGGGCTACTTCTATCCCTCAGTAATAACTTGTTAAAGTATTCGCGTAAGCTGAGATAACAATGGAAACTCACATAAATTTACCTGAAAAATATCACGGAATTTATCAAATATGCTCAAAGATCTAAACTCTGCCTTCAGGATATAATACAGGGAAGAACTAAGCCGCACTACCTCCACCATACAGACCTGTCAGAAAAAGTTCCTAACAAACCTCTGAAAACAGCAGCGATATTTCTCTACTCATTTGCTTTGTGAAAGAAAAAACATGGGAATTTGAAGTTTGGCCATTCAACCACGAGCCTGGCTGATTTTACATCACTTGGCACTACCTTTTGTGACCGCATTAGCCACAAGCAAACCCGCAGCCTCAGGTGACGCAAGGAAGCTGACCACAAAAGCAGCTTACGATAGTTCAGAACTGAAAATAATGGCATGTGATTTTCTGTCCCGTTGTGAATCAGTACTTTGACCTTTCATTGATGGTGCATCTCTTGTCTAATGAGGCAGTTTTGTCCAGCAAAGAGTATGCTCATGTACTTAATTAATAATGAAGAAACTAACGATACTGTGCAGCTACCTCATCCCTGGTTCTGACTCATGACTCTGACTCTTAATGGGTTCAGAGCTCCCCATGCCATGTTAAACGTGTCACTAGCATCATACAAATTCCTTGCCCTTACAGTCCCTTCATCCACGTGCCTTAAAAATTATATGGTGCAAATAACGTGTGACCCTTTGTAGGGGTGCCTGTTTGTGCTGGAGAGATACAACCCATCCCATCCCAGAGCTGCAGGGATCTGCCATACGCAAAACGAAGGAGTTGCTCTCAGGAAGGCCACTCCTGATGCTGCAGGAGAAGGGCACCCTCCTGTCCTGGCCAGCAGAACAAAGCAGAGGGAAAGCTTTCGACAACCAGCAGCTCTCCTGCACCCTACCCCTGCTAAGGGGAGGGAAGAGCAGAAGCTGACACAAAACAGAGGAGAGAGGAAGGACAGAGATGGAAAATTTAATCTATCACCCATCTGCCTGCCCCTTCACCCCCTTTTAATACTCTCTGGAAGCCATATGAAATATTTAGTATTTCCTTTGAATGAGAAGAAACATGAGAGTTTGAAAACACCTGGGCACAGAAAACTTCCTGTGCAAGACATGGTTTGAAACCCCTGTGTGCAGGCAGGGTCCTGCTCTTCCCTGTTTTCCCCTTCCCTGTGCAAGGATGAGCTAAACCCAGGTTGGAGCAGGGACAGGAGCTATGCATCCTCCTCAGGAAGTCCAGCAAGAGCACAGCAGGAACAGCTACATCTTATCTTATCCTGGGCTGTATCCAGAGCAGCATCACCAGCGGGTTGAGGGAGGGGATTCTCTCTCTCTGCTCTGCTCTCGTGAGGCCCCACCTGGAATAATGCATCCAGCTCTGGGGCCCTCAACATCAGATGGTTATCGACTGGTTGGAGCAAGTCCAGAAGCCATGGAGATGCTCCAAGGGCTGGAGCACCTCTCCTATGGGGACAGGTTAAGAGAATTGGGCTTGTTCAGCCTGGAGAAGAGAAGGCTCTGGGGAGACCTTATTGCAGCCTTCCAGTGCCTGAAGGGGCTACAAGGAAGCTGGGGGGGACTTTTTACAAG